AAGGGAAGGGAAGGGAAGGGAAGGGAAGGGAAGGGAAGGGATGCAATCCCAAAGGAAGAGGCTGGTTACTGCCACGTTTTCCATGGCTGCGGGGGCTTTTCCAGCTCCAGGGGCTCCTGCAGGAGGTGCCTGGATCCCCTGGGATCAAGGAGCAGCTCCTGGGAATGCTGGAACCCAGCACGGAGCATCCCGGTGCTGCCAGCGCTGCCGGGATCCACAGGCAGGAGAAGCAGCGGGATAACGGGAGAGGGAAGTTTGGGAGGATGGAAAACACAGTTCAGGCCTGGAGAAAAAACAACAGGGACAGCTGTCAAGGACAGGAATAGAAAACTCAGCTCAAATCCCTCCAGACTCCAAGAACTCAGCAGAGAATTCCCAGCTCAAATCCCAGCCCTGCCTGCAGTGGGAACACCGTCAATAATTCAGGAATGGCTCGGAGGGGCTGGGATGGAGGAGCCCCCGCCCCGTTCCAGGACAGCTCCCGGGTTTGGGAGCTGCTGCTCCCACTTCCCATGGAACTGTGGTGGCTGTGGAAATCCGGGAATGCAGGAGAGGATCAAACAGGGAGGGGGGGAGGCTCCCATATTCCCAGGCTTTTCCAATATCTCTGTTCCAAACTGCATCCAAAATTTCCCCAGAGGAGACAAAACCCCACTGCTGGTGGGAGAACAGCCCAAAGCAGGAGGGAATCCCGAGCTCCAGGCACGGGGGCTCTGGAATGTCGTTCAGGAAAACACAATTCCAACGGCAAATCCAGGGAAGAGACGGCTCAGAAGGAGATTCCTGCTGGACTCTGTCCAGGGAATGATGGAGAAATGAGGGAGCGAGGCAGTGCTGGAGCATCCCGGGCTCCTGCTGTGCCTGGGGAGCAGTTTGGGAGCTCCGGTTTTCCAAACCTTTGGAATTGCAGCCTGGTTTTAACTCTGCTCCCTCTCCTTGCCTCAGCATCCGACACATCCCCCTGGCTGCTGAAATCCAGCCTGGAATTTTCTCATTCCCATTCTCATTCCTATTCCCTTTCCCACCCATTTTCATCCCCATTCCCTTCCCATTCCCATTCCCATTCCCATTCCCATTCCATTTTCATCCCCATTCCCATTCTCATTCCCATTCCCATTCCCATCCCCATTCCCACCAATTTCCAGATGCCTGCTCCCATTTCCAGTTGTTTTTTCCCTGGAGAAAGCAGAGCCATTCCTGGATTTTCCCTCATCCCAGCACCGCTCCCCTTGGATTTACCCGGATTTTGGGATGCTCCAGCACTTTCCACGGACAGGGATTTGCCCGTCCCAGCCCTGGGTCCCAGCAAACGTTGGGATCTTTAATTAACGCCCTCCTTGGCTCACTGGGCTCAGCCAGATGGAGCTTAATTTAATTAGGAGATTTTAATTACCCATAATAACAGGATTTCCAAGCCATGGAGAGGTTTTGGGATCAGCCCCAATCCCCCCCTGGAGCTGCCCATGGGATGCAGGGAATGCTGGTCACTGCTTTCCCAAAATTGGCTGGATTTGATCAACATTCCGAGGAATTTTTCCACAATCTCCTCCAATATTTGTGGGAAACCGGGCCTGGAGTGGCCACACCCAAACAAATCCATTGGGAAATGCCATCCATCCCAAAAATCCTCAGCATCCGTCCCAAAAATCCTCAGCATCCATCCCAAAATTCCTCAGCATCCATCCCAAAAAATCCCCAGTATCCATCCCAAAAATCCTCAGTATTCATCCCAAAATTCCTCAGCATCCATCCCAAAATTCCTCAGCATCCATCCCAAAAATCCCCAGTATCCATCCCAAAAATCCTCAGTATTCATCCCAAAATTCCTCAGCAGGGGGGAACTGCTGAGCCTGGAGGGAGCTCTGGGAAGAACATCCAGGGTTTTTTGTTTCAGGGATCAGAATTTGCCAAAAAATCCAGAGGGATCTCCAGGACCTCATCCCTGCTCCGAGGGCTGGGGCTGTCCCAGTTCTCCCAGTTTGGCCAGTTTATCCCCCACCAGCTGGATGAAATCCTTGCCTTTTCCTGCTGTTCCTGGGGGAATCAGGGATCCGGGGAGCTGAGCTGTTGCTGGGAGCAAGAGGACAATAATAAATGATATAAAAATAATAAAATAATATAATAAAATACATCAAGTGATCAAAATAATGATAATGATAATAATAATATTTCCAAGAGGAGCTCTCGGTCCCATCCTCTCCTTCCCAGGATCCCTCCTCATTCCATGCCACAATTCCCCTTTTCTCGCCAGCCCTTCCCAATTTACTCCCTCAATTAACACAGCTCCTCCAGGGATTTGAATAATTCAGTCCCACGGATGGAATCCGATGGAAGGAGCAGCAGAAATCCCAACTCCACTTGAACCAAAGCCGGGCTGGATTTTCCTGCCCACGCTTTGCCCAGGAAACTTCAAAAAGCCAAATCCTACGGAGCTGCTCCTGCTTTATTTATCCAGTTTATTTTCCAAAAGCCTCCCAGGCCATTTATTTCTCCAATTATTTCATGTGCTGCTCTTTTATTTTTCCCCTGTTTTTTCCCAGTTTCTTTTTCCTGCCCCACTCAGGAAAGTCTCTCCCCCTTTTTGTGCATCCACAGCACCCCCAGCTTTAAATTAAATTAAATTGAAATTTATATTTATATTTAAATTAAATGGAAATCAAACACACCCAAGATCTGGGATTGCCAATTTTCCTGCAGCCTGAGCCTGGAATTGCAGCCAAGGAGCAAAGTGGGCAGCAGGTCAGGAAAGGACAAATAAACCCAACCAAACCCTCTCTAATTAAATGTCTTCATATTAAATTAACTCCAAAAAAAGTCATTGGGAACAAGTGCGGGGGGGATTTGGGACACCAGGATGGAGATGAAGGAAAATGGAGGGAGAGGGAGAATTTCAGACAATTAATCCCAGGAAGTGGAGAGAGCCTCAGAAATGGAGTCAAAAAAATGAAATTAAATCAGAATTTGCTCTGTTCCCTTTCGTGGGAGAGCTCCCACGACCAGGAAAAATCCCACAGAAAACACCTGGGACAAACTGGGACAGCCAGGGACAAATCCAGGGAAAAGTCTCCTGGTTTGGATGCTCTGAGGGGCTGGAGCTGGGAGCAGGGACAGGGCAGGGATCAATTCCAGGGATCCATTCCTGGGGGATTCAGGGATCCATTTCAGGGATCCAGGGAGTTGCCAGATCCCTGAAGCCCCTGGGGGTGGAAAACGGAGGGAGAGGAACTCTCCTTCCTCCAGGGATGGAAAATCCGGGACAGGAGATCCCTGATCCATTCCCTGGGATCCATCCCCTGCCCAGCGCGGGCAGTTCAAGCTCAGATCCCTCTGCAACTGCTGCCATTCCCTTCCCAGGGGATTTGAGGCTCATCCCAACATTCCTGGCTGAGGAACATCCCAACTTTCCCTCATCCCAGCCATCCTGAATCCATCAGGATTGTCCTGCTCTCCCTCCTCACCTCCTGGAAGGACCCAGGGCTGGAATCCCACAGGAATCACAAAAAACTCTGGAATTTTGGCCTCACCTGCAAGGAGAAACAACAGATTTGTATTGAAATTCCCCATGCAACATTCCCAAAAAAATCTCCCCTGGTTTCCAGGAACCTCAGGGCACCAGCAGGACACGGCAGAGTGAGGAGAACCTGAGGAGGCTTAAAAACGGAACAGAACTGAAAAAATAACAACGAAAAGAAAAGACCAGAGATACCACAGGGTACAAAATAGGAATTATTTATATTTTCCAAAAGAAAAACAAAAAGAGTTCCCAGCTATTGAAACATCTCTGCTGTAAGAAGTGACTAAATAGAAAGGGACAGGGCTGGCCCCAGACAGCCAGACCAGGTACAAACAGTGTAAGAATCACGGAGCAACTCAGGGACGTCGCACGCAGCCGTCAGCAAGAGTGAAATTCATCCTGGGGGGGGATCTTGGGGTTTTCTTTCGTTAAAAAAAGAGGGAGGAAAGGGGAAACAAAGCAGGGAAAAATGCCCAGAGCATTTCCCACAATGTTTAAAACAGAAACCGTCGGTGCTGCTCTCGGCTCGAGGGGTCTGCAGTCCTCTCCCAGCACAGCCTTCACCGCCCCTCACGCTCCGAGCTGACTTTTCATAGGAAAAGGGGGTTTTGAACCATTTTTTCTGTTTGCAGTGGACACACAAGTGCTAGAACAGCAAATTCGTCTCCTGCCGAGGGCAGCGGGGCACGCGCTCGGCTCGGCCGGGACTTGCGGAACGTTTGCCATAAATACTCCTGGAGGTTTCCTCGGCGGAACCTCGGCGCAACTTCTGCCCTCGCTCCTCCCAGAGCCAGCAGAGCCCTCTGCCCCGGGCGTCCCACGCACACAGAGCCCCGGGCCGGGCGTGCCAGGGGAACAGCCGGATCCTGGAGGGCCTCAGGCGGGTGCAAGGGAACACACAGACACAGGGAATCGCAGGAACAGCCCCAGAGCCCACCCTCCCCCCTTTTCCCAAAGTTTCTCGGCGCTGTTGGACAAAGTCTGGATGTCACACGGAGCAGCCTCTTCCCCCCAACAACAGAGTCCAAGCTCCACGGGCCTCGCCGGCTCCCCGGTGCTCAAGGGCTGGGCAGCAGCGGCAGCAGCAGCTGGGGCCGCTTCCAGAAAAGCTCGGGATGAGGGCGGCGGGGGTTTAGGATTGCTTCAGCCGCTTGCGGGGCGGGCCCAGGAACGGGCACTGCGCCGAGGCCAGCGAGCGATAGGCCTCGGCCACCAGGTGCGGGTGCGACACCACCATGGACTTCCAGCCCGACGTCTCCATCACGTCCGAGGCGTGGCTGCAACACAGGCACGGCTGGCTGAGGGGCTGGGGTAGGGGAGAGCTGGGATCGGGGCTGGGAATGGGGCTGGGGGAACTGGGAATGGGGCTGGGGGAGCTGGGAATGGGGCTGGGGGAGCTGGGAATGGGGCTGGGGTACCGGGAGAGAGCTGGGATCAGGGCTGGGGGAGCTGGGAATGGGGCTGGGGTATGGGAGAGAGCTGGGATCAGGGCTGGGGGAGCTGGGAATGGGGCTGGGGTATGGGAGAGAGCTGGGATCAGGGCTGGGGGGGCTGGGAATGGGGCTGGGATCAGGGCTGGGGTAACTGGGAATGGGACTGGGGTAACCAGGAATGGGGCTGGGATAACTGGGAATGGGGCTGGAAATGGGGTTCGGAATGGGGCTGGGGTAACCGGGAGCAAACTGGGACCAGGGACTAGGATAACTGAGAATGGGGGATTAGGATAACCAGGAATAGAAACTGGGAGAACAGGGAGCAGACCACAATCAGGGACTGGGATAACTGGGAACAAACTGGGATTAGAGACAGGAATAACTGGGAGCAAGCTGGGATTAGGGACCAGGATAGCGGGAGCAGCCCTCCAGGTTCTTCCCAGGCCTGAGGAGCTCGGGGGTTTCCTCCTCCTGGGCTCCCTCAGGTGTCTGAGGGGTTTGGCCCCACTCCAGGCCGGGAGCTCAGGAGGAAAAGCTGCAGCAGATTCCAGGGGGGATGGCAGAACTCAGAGCTCACCCCAAGCCCAGCTCTCGGCACAGGAGCGCTTTAAATCGATATAAAAAGCCCTGGAAGAACTGCACCCAGTGACAGAAATGTTCCATTTATTAAAGCTTGGCAGGGATTTTCCATCTGCTGCTGGATTGAGAGCTGGGATCAATCCCTCAGCATCAAATCATGGAATGCTTTGGGGTGGAAGGAGCTGAAAGCTCCCCCAGCTCCATGGGCAGGGATGACTCCCGCTATCCCAGGCTGCTCCCGGCCAGGACCATTCCAGGATCAGAATTCCCTGATCCTCCCCTGCCTGCACCTCCTGGTGATCCCAGCAAGCTCCAGAGCACCTCCCGGGCTGTTCCCACTCTGAACAGCCCCAGGGGACAATTCTGGCCTGGGTTTGGGGCAATTCCACGTGTGGAATGCTGGATAAATCACGGGAGGGAATCCAAAAATAAGAGAGGAGAACCTTCCCTGCGTGGGCCAGCCCAGGAGTGGGAACCCTGCTGCTCCCGAGGAACAGCTCACAACAAATCCTGGAATCCTGGGGGTGGGAGGGAGCCCAGCCTGGGTTTGTGTGGAGTGAGCAGTGAGAGGGGAAAGGGGAAAGGAAAAGGGGAAAGGGGAAAGGAAAAGGGGAAAGGGGAGGGTTTGTCCATCCTGGAGCAATTACTCACTAATTAATGAAGTCCACGGCCTGGGTTTTGAGCTGGTCTGCGCTGTGCAGGTCAGCCAGGATCAGGATCTCAGCTGCATTCTCCACAGACAGGTTACTGCAGAGAGCATCCTCACACATCACCTTCAGCCTCTCCAGGGCATACTGGGGACAAAACCATGGAATTACACCTGGAATTACACCTGGGTGTGCCCAGGGACCCTCA